TTTTAAAATATTAAGTAGTAAATTTTGTGCACCAAAACACTGGAAGAAAAACAAATATTTATTGAGAATCGATTGAACAAATATTTCAAAGTAAACAGCAGGAGATCAAGAAAGTAATGGCATAGATTGAATGAAACTAGACACAATTTATAAAACATCACATTATATCAATAAATTAATATCTAGACTTATCTATGACTTGAAAAAAAACCTTTATTATGCTTAGTTGCGACCCAACTATAAAAAGAAACCTTAAATTAAGATAAAATATTAATCATATTTTGTTTTCTTAAAATTCATTGAAGTTATATAACACAAATTGCTGAAAGAAACTTTCCTTCATTTCCTCTGAAAGTGTCATATAATAATGTCCATTTTTCCACGGAAAGCTTGCCTATATCGTATATATTTACTTCACATAGCGGATAAATAACTGTCGAAACAATAAATACAAATGAAAATCACTCCGAATACTATCGAATTTAAGATGCACCATTCAAAATTTTATGGATAAATTCGATCACTAACATCTATAACTTACTATACTATCAGGTATATATCTTGCCATTTACTGAAGTCATTAAGCTTTTATAAGTTCCTATATATTTAGACTAACACTCACTAATCCAGAATGTATGACTTAACTAAAGTTTTTTATATCTAAAACAATTCAACCAGTTTATTTGTTATAAACTATAAAACCTATGAAATAAAAAAATGTTTTCTAACAAGTATTTCTATGGCAATAAAATTGTAATGAACGTACTATGCTTTATTTTCAATGTTCTTTCATATCTCTTTCCTTTTTTATTTCTACTATCTTCTTGTAACCTAACTTAACTTTGACTGATATATGCATATAAAAACAGGCGTCCGTATATGTAAAGCGATACTTAAGTGATCAGTAATTATTCAGTAGTATACAACATGATGATTATTCTTTCACATATATTACTATGTAATTTTAATATTATCTAATGCGTTATATCTCTTATAATTTAAGTTGAAATTAACAATTGATGTCAAGAACAGTTTTTTTTTTCCTGAATAATCCTTGGAGTAAAAAGAGAAATCCAAAAAAATCAAACAGTGACAAGTGTACAGAAAAATGAACATAGAGATTATCAATAATGATAATTGGTTGTATACCTTTCAAACAGTAAAAAATATGAGTATGATTTATGATAAGTTTTTTTCATATCTTTGTTTTTTTCTGTTCTCTATCTCTGAAAATAATATAATGTAATTTTGGTAACCTTCAACATACTTCATTTAATTGTCCAAGAAAAAGATCATGTTATATCTTATGACATACATTAAATTACTGTACATTACTTGTTTAATAATAATAATACTGTACTGTAAGATCACTTAATAGAATAACAATTTATGGTTAACTTATAATCCTTATTGTGTCGCCTCTTGCGTTCATTTTTTACCGTAGCATGTATATTGCTAATGGCTGTAAAAAAAACCTGATAAATCATCTTACAACCTGATAAAAACTGTCAAAATAGGATACATATTTGTGAATTTACAGAGCATCTTCTTTCAGTCTTCAAAAAAATATGCATTTTCGAGTGTCTTTTTACTCAGTTAGCGATTAATCACTGGATATAAGAGCATAATTTTCAATGAAGATTTCAATTGATACTCTAACTTTCACTCTGCTTTGTTTTTTCATCCTGCAATTCGGGATGCGCTACAGTAGCGTATCCGTAAAAGGCATATGTCGATAGGTTTAAATGATATCCCCAGTAAAGATTATGCTGCTACGTCCAACAATAACTCACTAAATAAATAAAAAATGGTTGAGAATTCCGGATGTTGCATTCTAATTAAACATTTAAAGATGAATATTTTCACACAAAAATTAGCTCATGCATTCTTTTGAAATTTTTACACTATAAATTACAACGATAATAATGTAATCAAGACGAATAAAAACTGAGAAAAAGTATTGAAAAACTCGGGACAATCGAAAGTCAAGCAAAAAAATTAGAAATTTTATAGACGTGATATAAAAATGCAAGTAAACATCATAAAATATATAATATATGAAGATAGTGATTTAAAGCTATGATGATGTTTTTCTTTTATGATTACTCATATATGTACACAGGATATTCAGTCGGAATAGATAAATAAACTTATTGTGATGGTGGTGAAACATCCATTTCTATGGTTAAATACTTTCTGTGTTATTACTATCAATATAACTCCGCCTGTAGCTCCTCCGGGGGATACTGCCGGTTCCAAGCCCAGGTAAAGGAGGAGCGTTGGGCATGGGGTTAGCGACCCCATCCCGTAGAAAACCAACTTCTTAAAAAACTCTAACCAGAAAAAATTATTCAAGTAACCTAACTATCAATATAGTACATAATTAAATGCAAATTTGAGATTAGTGGGAAAAATAACAATCAATGGTAAAAATTTTGATAGAGTAAATGGATTTTGACTAAAAGCGGATACCAAAATTTGTACTTCGTTCTATTTAGGACTCCCTTAGTAAATTTATCTGTCCTACAGTGTTGACTTTTATATTTGGACTAATATCCAGTACTTAACGCTTAGAATGTTGTTGTGTTATGCGCTGAGTTACTGAGTTCAGATAGCCACTAACTTTTTCAATGGATATAACGTCTGGAATATCCGAGAAATGGGCTCATTCAAAACTTTATTGACACTGAAGTAAGTCATAACTAAACATTACCGAGCTATTTATCTTTATATAGCTCTGAGTTTCTGAAGTCTTAAGATAGACCTTATTAATACCTTTTAAGTAGTGTAGAAACCCTATGCAAAGAATCGTGGTGTATTAATCAAATTAATAATTGAAGAAATGACGAAAAAAATACCAATTTGATACAGTTTTAGTTATTATAACTAGTGTTGGTCAATTGACAAGGAACTAATAATATTAGCATTAATAGACACGTTTTTTTAGAATAATAAAAATAGTGATAATTTTCAAAAACCAGTCATCTAATGATCAATTATACAACCAAATTACCATCAATCTTGGAAAAGACAATATTTATCTGATTGTGTTACTTTTTTGCCAATTCAATCAACATGTACATAGAAAAATGAATGATGTAAAGAAGAGGAAAATTTTATGACTTAAAAATGATTTTTATAAGAACTTGAAATCACATAGTGAATTGTGGAATGTTATGAGGAAATGTCTACTAATATGTCCTACTTAATCATTCTTCAGCAACATCTAGCAATGACTTCATGAAGAAGAGACTTCAAGATTATTAAGTCCTATGATGAATACAGTATCAGTGATTAATTGAGTATAAGCTTAATAAATTACAATACATATACTTCAAATAACTGCAGAAATACTATGGTCTCCATTAAATGTTATATCTTTCACTAGTAATAATAATAATATACCGATTAAATACAAATCATGAGATGAAAAAATTTGTTAGAACTATCTTAACAGTTTTACAAATAAAAATTCATGTCCATTAGTTGTCAATGCACGAACGTATCATAAAATATTTCAGATAACTTTTAAATGAATAAAATGAAATTAGTTGCTATACTGAGATTTATTTCCCTATAGAATTTTATTTCAGATTATCATTTGCGAGGGATATTTTTATTAGCCGTAGTAAGGATGACTATATATATTCTTTTGGCCTTTTTCCTCATTCAAACTAATTCAACTAACTAAAGTAATTCGAGATATACAAGTCTTTTTATTAATCACATGAATAACAGTATCTATAATTAATAATTTTATAGCTGAATTCATAAGTTAGTTGAGACAGACCACCATGGAAAACTTGGAAGCACTGGGTGGCCGTTTCACCCTAGTATGAGACTCATCAGCAGTGCTCATCCACGATCCCGACTCGCGAGTTTCGAACCCGAGCGCGAGCGCTTAACCTCTGGACTACTGAGCCGGTATCCAGCGGTGTGAATGTCTAACTTCAACCAATCCACGAAATTGAGCGACACACCAACCATTGTCTTCAATGAGTTGGTGTCTCACAACAGACTCGATTGAGCTCTACTGGTCACGGTTTCTCACTAGAACTCCAAGAAATACCTCTTGAAGTCAGTCACTAGTGAGCATATGATTATTATCAGAAGGGGCTTTCGTGGAGATTTTAGTAATTTTATAGTTGAATTTATGGTCTAGCTTCAATTGACTCATGAATTCAACTATAAAATTACTAAAATCTCCAAAAAGAGCCGTCTGATAATCAATAATTTAGTTCAGTTTTGATATTGTGTATTTCAAAATAACATTCAACATTCAGTCAATAGTGAAACAATTCATTAAAATAATGATTACTTAACTGAAATTACTCGATTTGAAAATCATTATTCTATACGAATAACATCAAATGTATTCAAAGATAGTCTGTTACTGAAATTATTTTGTTTTCATTACTGTCCAAGATTCATTTTCATTGACAAACAATTTTTTTAAAAAGTGAATATAAACAATCAAGATCAGAATTTTCAATTCAAATGTCAAGACAGTTCTACTGTATGGAGCGGAAACCTGGAGAACTACAAAATCCATCATCCAGAAGGTACAGGTGTTTATTAACAGTTGTTTATGCAAAATACTTCGGATAAGTTGGCCAGACATTATCAGCAACATTCTACTGTAGGAGAGAACTAACCAGATTCCAGTGGAGGAAGAAATCAGGAAGAAGTGCTGGAAGTGGATAGGACACACATTGAGGAAATCACCCAACTACGTCACAAAGCAAGCCCTCATATGGAGTCTTGAAGGTCAAAGGAGAAGAGGAAGACCAAAGAACACATTACGCCGATAAATAGAGACAGACATGAGAAGAATGAACAAGAACTGGATAGAACTAGAAAAGAAGGCCCAGTACAGAGCGGGTTTGAGAATGCTTGTCGGCGGCCTATGCTCCATCAGGAGTAACAGGCGTAAGCAAGTAAGTAAGTAAGAATATAAACAATATGAATAAATACATTTAAACATCTTATTCAAAACTCACTTATAATTATAATCCAAACAATAGTAGATAATATCCTATATAAATACATAATCTGAAACATTTTGTCTTGATCAAGATATTTATTTATTTTAATAATATCCTGTTGATAATTGTTTCAATGCATTTGAGTATTAATTTAGTCAAAGAATTAAAAACCATCATTCATAATCAAATAACAAAATGTCTGAAATAAAAAATATGAGTCATTCAAATTGTCTACCATATTGTGGTTAAATTAGAATAACATAAATTGTAAATTTAACAAGAATTTTCATCAAGTTCCTTCAGATAGTAGTAATATTATACGACCAAATCATGGAGATGGACCAATCCATTAGTATGACTAATAAATAAAAAGCACTGTTTCTTCGATAAAATGCTCACCTGGCCACAGAAACTAACTAGATGAATATGTAAGTGTTGTGGTTTAGTAGTACAGACAGGTGTCTGTGTGCAATAGGCAAATGGAAAGGGGGTGAGGAAATTATTCTTAATATACTACACGGACAATATAACATGAAACCAACCAATCATAATCGTGAATATCATTATTCTAGACCACGTGTGTCGAATATATATCTACCAAAAAAGGAGGTAACTATGTTGTATTTAAGTTACAGCTTTAGGTTTTCTACGAAAATACAGTGTATGGATCATCGCTACCACAGCTTCCAGTTACACATATGCTTTATCTCTATTTTTACGATACATGTCATCATAGACTGTCAGTAAAAGTGAAATTTTAATACAGCACGTTTATTACCCCACCCCTAGTATTTAAGACTTGTTCATATCTGACTGATTCCTTTATAATTTGCAGAAATTATTCTCAAAAGAAAAAACCAATAAAAAGCAGCTTATAATTTAGCTGTAGAGTTTACAGAGGACTGAATAATTTGATTTTACTCACCATGATTAAAATAGTTACTAGTAGGAAGGGTTGAAAATTTCAAAGACATCTAATAATATTTCTAATATAATTTCATTATTCAAAAAACAGGAGAAATTCACTTAGTATTGTTTGTTTGAATCCTCCCATTGATGTTTAGGACTGAAATTGATCAGTCTCTAATTGGCATATGTGCATACTGTGCGTGTTGCCTCGATAAAGCCTAAATTCACAAACATGGTAAGCAAAAATGGATAGTGGCTAGCAGTGGAATCCAGGACGCGCGCCACTTCGTCCTATTTGTGACTCGTCAGCTGGATGTACCTGCATCTCACAGTTGATGTTCACTCTGGGACTCGAACCCAGTGCCTTTCGCTTCAAACGCCATCGCGTTATCCATCTCACTGCACAACTAAGTGGCTGTCAGGACTCAGTAGCTGAGTGGATAACGCGATGGCATTTGAAGCGAAAGGTACTGGGTTCGAGTCCCAGAGTGAACATCAACTGTGAGATGCAGGTACATCCAGCTAATGAGTCACAAATAGGACGAAGTGGCGCGCGTCTTGGATTCTACTGCTAGCCATTATCCATCTTTGCTCACAAGATAGGAGAAATGTTTCGATCATTTAATTTCAGAGTAATCACTTCCATTTTCACTAAGACGACGATCAACTTATAGATAGTTTATTGTCAGATAAATACTATAAATAAATAAAAAATTATATAGTTATTCTTCTTTTAATTGACGTGTACCCATGACTTTTATAAACTAGTCCTTTTGAATAAGGAAATTAATCTTCTACATGATGATTAACACTTTATGAAAAAAACGTTTGAAAGGTCTAAAGTGGCATATATTGTTGATTCAAAACATCACTGAATAGTTGTAAGTACTTGGTATCAAAACTTGGATACAGTTTTTAGCCTAGTTAGTAATCATCACCAAGGCGAGTTCGAAATTTCGAACTGTCATTTGACTCATATTATTCGAACCCATGTAGTTCACTGTTGACCTTTTTGAAACTCAACCTATCTCCTACAGCACTGAGATGTTTATATTAATTGAGTATTGATAATTCAAGTTACCCATTCTGATCTGTAGATAAGAGTATAAATGTTTAACAAAGGAAAAATAACTACATCACTTATGTAACTGATTTTTAACAGTCTAATAATTACTTAATTTTTAAGGTTTGGTTTATGTTTGCCTATTTCTTATCAACAGGCTTAATGACAAATGTTTCAACTCTATAGAAAGGTACTAGAAGAGTCTGAACGTCACGGATATGATTCCTAGTGGAGTCCTATTCTGTTCATTGTCAAGGAGTTTTAAACTAAGATGAAACAACAGTCCAGTGCTTCTCAGATATCAACTGTTCTCCAGTTGTTTTATATATAATAATTAGTAGGGATTATGGATGTTTATGTATATTACCTAGATATAGCCTAAATTCACAAGCATGGTAAGCAAAGATGGACGAAACGCGCGTCCTGGATTTTACTGCTAGCCACTATCCATCTTTGCTTACCATGCTTGTGAATCTAGGCTATATCGAGGTAATACGCACAGTATGCACATATGCCAATACGAGACTGACCAGTTGCAGTCCTAAATATCAATGGGAAGATTCAAACAAACAATACTAAATGTTTTGCCACTTTCTTTTCTCTTTTTATAAATCATTTTCTTGACAAAACAGGTTTAATTCATCAAAGCAGTCTTTTGATATGCATTATCAATTAGTTAGATAGTATTTCTTTTCAACTATTCGGTTCGTCTATGTAATTTTTAAGTCATTTTCAAATAATCCTTTTTTCAATGATAAAAGCCTCTAAAAATGTGATACTTTGCCGGGTTTTTTTAAAAAATAAACAATTGAATCGAACCATCGTATCCATAGTTCATTCTGTAGAAATATTATGGTTGCATGTCTTGATACCTTAGTCAAACAATATGATAGAACTAAAGAGAAATATTTCAAAAAGTAGTTTTTCTTCTAACAAATGAATACACGAATTGAACTAAGTGTTGAATAAAAAATGTTCGTTTTTTCTCCTAGTCAATATTCTTTGTTTGAATTGATCATTCAATCCTAGTGTGTGATTTTTATAAATGCTTGGATATTGTCCACATTTATATGTTAGTTACATATTTTGCAAGATTCACAGTGAAAATCATGTATTGATTTGAACTAGACCACCTGGAAGTACAGAATAGCCATTTTGTCCTACTATATATAATTGTTAAAAATAGAACATGTTAATGATTTGTTAACAGTACGCATCAACATCCAAATCATAGTATTCATATTTAGACATGAAACCAGTAACAAATGTTTTGAAATTTCATAACTAATAATTATTATCAAGTGAACGGCTATAACAGTTTAATGGTCTTTTGAGCCAGGTTTGAGTACAAGTATAGAAATTAATATTAGAATGAAGTTACATCCATTGTATGTGTCCTAGGTATGATAAAATTATCGTGTAAGATTTCACTGTTAGCTGATATTCGTAATACAATTCAACGGAACAATCAATGTTGTCTTTTTATAAATCAATTACTTAGATTTTTTAGATTTACCGATCAGTTTTTTATTATATTTTATTTGATTGTAGTAGTAACGTAAGTAAATAAACAATAAATAAATAAAACTCATTTGTATTGGTAACTTGAATCTTCCCGATAATGTTTAGGACTGCAAATGATAAATCTCTCTTGGTACATGTGCGTCTTATGCGCATCTCCTCTATATTGTCATTAAGTCACAAGTATTTTTAAGCAGAGATGGACAGTGGCTAGCAATGGAATACAGGAGAGAGACTAATCAATTACAATCTTTAACATCAATGGGGAGATTCAAACAACCGATACAAATTAATTAAACTTCATGATTATCTAGACTCCGTAGTTAAGTGAATAACGTGATGATGTTTAAAACGAACGGTACTGGGTTCAAATTTCATAGTAAACATCAACTCCAGGACACGGATATGTCCAGCCGATGAGTTTCGAATCGGGAGAACCTCATGTCTTGGATGACAATGCTAGTCGCCACCCATTTTTGCTTGAAAATAAGTACAATTATTCATGTAGTCATAATTTATAATATTTATTTATTTGTAGATAAACAGAAAAAACACGAACTTTTCTTGTAGAAACGATTACTTGGGTATTTGTAAACATTACCACTAGTTCATGTACAACCATGATAAATAAATAATACACTAAATAAAAGAATTTGAAGTTAATGAATGAGATCAGTTGGAAAAAGAATGAAAATCAAGGAATTTTAACAAATGTTCTGTAAAAGTTTAAGACTATACAACCCCATATATGAAAATATTTTTACCAGAAGTTAAACCCAAGACATTTGTATCCAAACCAAACATTATTCTGACATAATTTTTTAGTAATAATTAGTAACTAACCTAATATTTTAGTATCGGTTAATTTCTGAAATGCAGAATGACTTATGTCTGGTTTACAATGCAGTTTACCATCTATTCGAAGTTACATGAATTTTGTGAGGCACTTGGTTAGCTATTTTATTTCACCATAAATTCAACCAATGGTGCACACACTGTCGGGATGTGATTATTGAAGTTTAATAGTAACCATCTTGCCGAAGAATTGGTAACTCATAATCTTGTTTTTCATATTTCTCGATCTCAGAGATTACACCTTACAAACAGACAATCGACTGACACTTTTTCATTGGATTTAAGTCATTTTCTTGTGAAACTAGTTCATTTTACAAACTGAATGATCCTTGCCAAGAACATACCAGTGATAATGATGAGAATGATTTTCTGTCCTTGTTTTAAAATTAAAATGTTATTGGTAACTGTTTTATTGTGCCTCAATTATTTAAAGAGATATTGGTGTGCTAAGTCACTTTGAATTTTCTCTAGAAGAAATCTGACAGATTATGTATGATATGCAGTTTAGAAATCATCAAGTCTGTGTACTAATGAAACATTTTAGGACCTTTGATAACATGAACATTCGTGGATATTTCTTATGTGTGCCATTTGCTTCATTACTTCTATCGTATTTATATCAAAAATAGTAATAATAATAATAATTACGAATAAATGAATATTTAATGTAACTCATATTCAAGTTACTGACTGGTAGTAATGTTGACCTACATGCTGAATTTCTAAATTATCCAAAACTTAAATGATTTCAAACAATATTAAAAATTAATGTCTAAGTATAATAGATGAATGAGTCAATTGACAGTTAAATGTCTTTTATCGTTTGTCTTGTATAGTTTGTTAATCAAAACTATAGAAAAATTCTTTCATTCAAACAATTTCATTTGAATTACTTGATCTAATTTTGTTGACAAAATTCATTCCTGGTGAGTATGAATATAAATGTAGATGTATAAACGTCCTGGTTTGTTGTTATTGTTGTTTTTCACATAATGAACTAATTTCCATATTGTTGTCATTGATACATGATATAAATCAGTCCGGTTGCATGCTTATTCA